GGTATAAAAATCACATGGCTAATAACTTATAAAAAATTTATTTAAATTTTTATTTTTAAGCCGTGCAATATTTTTGTTCCCCCCGGTATATGGATGGGAGGCTGAAGACCTTATCTATATCACAGAAGATAAGCAACATAAGGTTCCTATAGGCATCGCTCAGAATATCAAACAGCTTAAGAGTGCATGCGAGACGAACAAGAGGAAGAGAAAGTGGGGCGCTGATGATTTCGATTATCTCTATGGTATCATCACAACAGGTCGGGACTGGCATTTCCTTTTATATAGCCCCGGAAAAATATCTAAGGCAAGTGATACTGCGTATTCGATCGAATTTACAAAGAATGCTTTAGATCCAAACTCAGAAGAATACCAGTCATTGTGTAAGAGTGTGAGAAAGGTTTTAGGCATTATTGTAGATTTGTTAAAAGATAGGGCATGTGCGGAAGAAGAGCCAGAAAGGAAGAGAGTTAGAATAGAGGGTTATCGTTCAAAAAAATAATTAGCCGTAATTAGCATAGACATCATGTATTCCAGGCTACGTCCTGAATTCTGTATTTATTTTTCTCATGTAATAATAAAAAATTTCTTGGCAAAGTCGTGAATTTTTTTCACGCGGTAACATTTTTTTTCTTTGAGTAATGCGATTTTATTACTTAAACATATTAATATAATATAGATGGATTATATTATATATACTATATTAAATGCGATCTCGAGGTAGTAGCATAGGCCGGTCATGTGAAGTCGATTACCTGAAATACGCAGTCGATACTTGGGAAATACTACGCATTTTTTAGGTGATCGGTCTCACAAGATTCTCCTGACAAGTATCCCAAGAACACAAGATATTTTTGTCCAGGCAAATCAAATCTTCCAATGTGTCTTACATGCTGAACAATAGTTTATATAAGCATCATAAAAAATTCACGTGTATAACACCACTTTTGGTTAGTAAAAAGTACCATAAATGCCCTCGTGACTCACGTTTATTTACATTTTCTAATGTATTTTTGATATACACGATATTTTTCTCCAAAAACAGTTACATCGGTATATAGAGGTATGCTAATTACATTACGCAAAATAATGGAAAATAAACTAATCTTGAATCATAACTAGAACCTAAAAACTAAAACCGTAATTAACAAGATCGATGACGATTCCTGCTCTCTGAAACCATTTCCTTAAAGCTTGGTGTTGCAAGAGTATTACGTCTGTTTTGTTCTTGTTTTTCAGTAGATACAATACAATTGGACCAAAATGCATTGGATATGATGAGAAGTGTATCAAGGCTGGTGAGAAAAGCAGGAACCTGTTCAAGTGACATAGGCACTAATTTCCACCATAACATATAATGCATCACACAAAAGAGTTGTAAGATAAAATGTGATATGGTGTCCTATTGAGTACAGAGCAATTGTTCAGTGATGTGTGATCTGAAAAAAAGTTATTACTGGAAACTTACCAACAACTTGAAATCCAAGCACATAATTCATATTATAGAAGTCAATCGCATCTTTGTTAAACACAGCTACACGAATGAGATCAGTGCAAAGGAGGTAAAGGTTATTCACTTCTTGTTAAATTTTTGCTTCACCGTGTCTTTTACTTGAACTCCAAGACAGTTGATCGATTTCGCTAATGATAGCATCTGGTTGTTTGGCTCTGCCTACTGGCTTCCTAGCCTTAGACTCTGTGGTCTCATTGTTTGGCCTGTAGTATTCCTATTTATTAGAAAATGTATATATGAAAATGTCATCAGGTTAAAGAGCTTACCATCGCAAGAATATATCACGATCAGGATCCGTAAAAAGTGGGCTGAGAATTGGATCAATATAAGTAACGCAGAGTTCTACTTCTCCAACGGGGCTTTTTAATGTGACTCTTGGGACTCTTTTAATACTAGTAATTAGAAATAGAAAATGTTTACCATTGGGCACTGTGAAAATCCCTCCTGTTCCAAAATTCATTACAATCTTACATGTTTCTTATAACCTTCAAGATTGCGCGTTCTCCATAAGAACGGCCAACTGCAAAACTTTGCACTTTCAAAACTGCATCGTCTCTTGTGATTTCCTTCCGTTGTAGGCGCTGTAACAAGAACGAGTGCATAAATTTTTTTCACATCAAATAAGTGTAAAGAAGATATTATACCTTAACAATGCGAATAAGCTCCATCAACATTTCACAACCAAACTCTATTTCTTGCTTGATAAGTCTCTGTATGATATCCTTGTGCATCATTTCTAGTAACTCATCACCGAATACCTCCACCATTAACGGAGAATGTTGTTTGAGCTTCAATAAAAGAATGTGTGATAAGGCTCTATACAGTTAAGATAATTGCAATTAGTTTCCGCAGTAACCTAGCAAACGAAACAATTAAGAGCATACAATATCTGCTGTATGTGGCTTTCCACAAAAAGGCCTTCTCTATTCACTAATTCCAGCGATTTTTCCTTAAAACGATGCCATTTTTCAGAGACATCTGTGTCATCCACGAACCATCTGGATTCTTTTTGAGGTAATGGTCCCAATTCTAGTCCTACAACATCATTAATTATTGCTGGACAATTGGACACAATATCAGTACCCGAAAGAGTATTGGATTCTTCTGGTGATTCTATTAACATGGGCTGAGGAGAATACTTGACTTCGACTGATACAGAGCGGGCTCGTGGCGTAGTATGATCATCTTTGTGTTGTCTCTTTATTTGAATTTGTCCTTCTTCGCGATCATCCAAATTTCTTCTTTTCCCTAAGCTAGGAACACGATTCTCTTTATTATATTTGAGCTGGTAAGAACAATTTGACTTAAATAATCTTTATAATAAACATGCAAATCAGCAAAAAAAATGATAATTCCAATTCCATACCACTGTGTTATTAACATTGTTAATGGAGTCATTGACATTTTCAATTGAATTTTTAAAAACTTTTGTTGTATCACGCACTATGGAGCTAGAAGCCTCCGCCTGTAGTTGTAAGAAAAAAAATAATAATCCTGAGTTTGTTTAGACTGACTAAAAATTTATTAGGAATCCTCACCTCGCTATGACGTCTCTCGACTTGATTCCAGAACATATTGACATCTTTGAAGTACTTACGATGCCCTTTAATCAAAATCACAAAGAATCAATTAATAAACCGTTTTAAGAATACACGAGGAAAGCATTGCAGAAGTCAACCACAATGGATACGCAGACCGTAAGGTGACAACACGCAGATGCTACCCTTAGTTGTGTGGGTTTCTTCCCGCAAGAGAGGCTATTGCAACCTCACCACTTTGCGGTATATATAGACAAGACATTAGACGAGCCAGCACGCAGTATAGCTGTTAAAGTCTTGTTCAGCCTCCCAATGCAAAAAAACAATGACAGAAGTTAGACAAGATCCTTACCTTACGAATTTTTTCCAATCGACGGGCGCCCTCCTTCATTTCGTCCGAGTCAGACTTTATCAGTTCACTGAGATCTTTTTTTAGCTTGTGTGACTCCTTCTGAAATGAGGAAACAAAATCCATCTGCCTCGAACGGTGCTCATAAAAACCCAGAAATTGATAGTC